AAAACCTAATACATATTGATATATATATATATATATATGAGTGTGTGTGTGTGTATATATATATATATTTATTGTGAGGTAGGGAAATTCTTGCTAGTTAGGAAACAGATCTTTTGATAGTATGAATATTAGAAGTTGGTGGAAGACTAGAGTAGAATTCTAGGCTCAGATATATATATTGATTATGTGTCAGTGTAAATATTTGGTTCACAGAATGTGATACTTTCACGCTACTCTCGAGTTCGGTACTACGTTTTCTAGGGCTCCTAGGCCGATCACAATATATATATATGTGTGTGCGTGCGTGTGTGTGTGTATGTGTATGCATCATTATATACATTTATGTTGATATATATATATATATATATATATATATGTATATACCTTTATATACATATATATACATACATATATATATATATATGGATATAAAAATCTATACATATTTATATTGTTATATTGTTATATATATATAAGTAAATATATGTATATGTCTGTATGTATATATATATAGATATATATATACATATGTATATATGTATATATATATGTGTGTCTGTGTGCGTGCGCGTGTGTATGGCTGTGTGGCTATATATATATATAACACCACCCCGATTGAATAGGTTGTTTCTTTTAATGACTACGCCGGTATCTTGATGACTCCTAGTTGTATCGTATGGCCTTTGTCGTATGAAGATCTAGTTTCAGTACTGATCAGTTATGAAGGATTATCTGCAGAGTGTGTTATGGTAAATGTAGTTCCAGAATTTGCCAGAGAATATTTATTTTGTGTATGCTGATGTCGTTTGGGTGATTTTACTCAAAAGTCGCATGTTTCTTTTTTCTAATTCACAGACATCCCTGTAGCAGCACACACTTTGATTTTATATTTTTTATTATGGCGTAGTTCAGATAATGTGAGCTCGTCTGTCGGTCGGATACTCTGACCAACAAAGCTCAATGGTGTTCGTTCACTCTGGAAGCATCTCATAGGCACCTTGTTCACACTCTTCTATGTCACAAACATAACCCATCAATATGTACATTTGTACTGCACAGGCTCCGTTCTGCAAACGGTTTATCGGTCCGTTCTATTGGTTCGACATCTGCCACAGTGAAGCCACACGCTTGTGAGTGGCCCAACTGTGGCCAGACATGTGCCAGTGCTGCCAATCTGAAGGTGCATATGCGTGTACACACGGGCGAACGTCCCTATGCGTGTGACTATCCTGGGTGTGGCATGGAATATACTCAAAGTAGTAATTTGAGAAGACACAAACGCGTGCACACGGGCGAACGTCCCTATGCGTGTGACTACCCTGGGTGTGGCATGGAGTTTATTACAAATG